TGGAACACGGTACTGAGAATAATATCTGGGCCTGCGAGAGAGTTACTGACAAGGGAAGGGTGAAAATTGCGTAATATGGAGCTTTATAGAACTTGTTATTGTTTCATAAAGGGCGAGGGAGCACAATTTGGTTTGAATTAAACATTCAACTGTAATTATCATCGCCAGCGACTCAGTTTGTTTCTTTTTATAGAAATGCCTGTTGAGATTCAATACAAAATGACAAAGCTCTAAATGCGACATATAACTAACAAACTAACCACTTAGACGGCTTAGGGAACACGAGGTTTCAACACCGAACTAACTAAAGCCCTCCACCGGACCCTGCCCTGGGCCAACAAAATTCAGTCTCCTTCAACTCTTATCGCCCATAGATCCCGTCTGAGATTATTCTTCCATCTACATCTAGGTCTCCCCAGCGGTTTCTTCTCCCCAGTAAGTAAAGTAAAGTAAAGTGTCCCGCTATATGCCTATGTAGACCTCGGCACTAGATGGGGGTGAGTGATCAGCATCACGCCCCGGCCGTGCTTTATCCCTGGGAAAGGACCCCGTACCCATTAGACAGGAGGCTGGGTGGGCCACAGAGGCTGGAGGAAAAATCCTCTGCGCTCGTTGGAGATCGAACCCCGATCTCCCAGCCCGTAGCTAGTCACTGTACCGACTGAGCTATCCCGGCTCTTCTTCTCCCCAGGCTTTCCAAAAATACCCGGTGCACTCCACATGCCCCGCCCATCCCACACTTCTTGACTTACTCTCCCTGAAAATGTGGCTGATATAGGCAATAATAAGTCATGCCGCGTGTTTTTCATTAATAACATCAGGTTAAATATTCTTACAAGTAAACCATTTAGACATTAAGTATAAAATATCAATGTAATCTGTAAAGTCTTAGATGCTTCTACTCTGGTAAATCGTTTTTAAAAAAATACGACAAAAGTATGCCACAGAAATTATGTGACCTTTGATGCAGGACCAGGCAGTTAACAAATAAATTTTGGAAAAAGAAGCTATGCCTTTTCATAACCATAAAATTTTCTAGTTCTTCTCTCTCTCGCTCTGTAGAACTAAAAGTTCTTAAGAGCTTACATGATTAAGGACTTTTATATACACTAAAAGCACAAAATGTAATTTAAATTTATCAAATGAACGCGAGAATTACAGTTGGGAACAGTCACAAAAGCTGTTCGTTGTTCTACCGCATGCGTAGATCCAGCCTACATCACGCTACTCACACACTGGAAAGATCAAGATATTCTATGAAAAGTCGAGTGGGACTCGGCTTGTCAAAAAGTAGCCCACTTTCTTTACTGAACCGGAAGGTTCGTGTTCAAAAAGCGCCCGCCTCCGGGGTCTATCCTGAGCCAGTTGCATCCAGTTCGCTCTATCGAGTCCCATCTCCCTAAGGTTCATCTTAATATTATCCTCCCACCTACGCCGAGGTCTTCCCAGAGGTCTCCTCCCTTCAGGCCTCCACCCCTTCTGCCCACCTCACGCTGACAACATCGGGTGAGGAAAACAGGCCGTGGAGCTCGTCATGCACTTTTCTCTGTTATCTGTCCCACCCCCGTTTTGGGTCCAAATATCGTCCTCAACACTCTGTTCTCAAAGCCCTCAGTCTATGTTCCTCCCTCATTGTGAAAGACCACGTTTTGCACTCATACGCCACAACTGGCAAAGTTACGCTTTGGTTCATTTTAATCTTAATTTTCTTTTGGTATGAGACCGGAGGA